TGCAGAATGTTGAGGGCAAACAGAGCAGTCAAGATGAGAGTGTAGACCTGTTGGTAAAAATCCTCTCACCAGAACCAAACCCTGGGGTCGCTCAGAAGTGACAACTGGAGCTCAGAGGGCACAGAGATGGTTCGAAGTGACAAACATGGTGGCCGGTACAAAGAGACAGAAACTGGGTACCCTAGTATTAAAAAAAAAAAAGTTATTTTAAACTTCTATCTACCATGAACTTGAGCACATCTTTGCCCTTAGAACTAGTGAACCAAATCCTCTATTTCTCACATCTCCAAAAAAGGCAAAGAAACGACACTCAAAATCATGCTTCTGTGCTTCCTCGCATGTTCGTTTCAGATTCGGGTCTAGGCGGACTCCCCTTATTTGGTGTTTCCAGTCAGTCTCCCCTCCTCAGTTTCTTCTTTTTAAAACAATATTTGTTGGGTGTGTTTTTGGAGCATGCAGGAATGTCTGAAAAAGAAGACCATAACCACGCATTGTGTCAACTACCCAACTCCTTTCAAGGAGTAGCCCTTCTGGACATTGCACATCCTGCTTTCTGCCTCCTTATGAATTTTTTTTTTTTTTTACACTTGCTTTACTTGATGCTCCCTTTACTAATTTCACTTCCTAATTTCTGTTCTGAATATTCTGTTATCTCGTATTGTCATCTGTATTAGAAATGTATAGGATGTAGTCTACATAAAAGAAGCTAAAAGCTATATTTTGTGATATCCAGAAAGTAGAAACACATTTTTAAGTATACATGCAGGTATACTTCCTTATTTTGGGTATGCGTTGGTTGTGTATCATGTCACTGTGCCTTGCCAATGAACATGGACACTGTTTCATTCTGCAGCCCAATCTGTCTGGTGTAACGTCAGTGTCAGGAAGCAGCACAGAGTACTGTTTAACGTCATTGTTCTTGGGATTTACCCAGGTGCTCCGAGCACCAACACAAAATCTACCCTTTGCAACAAAGAAGGTTGAATGCAGATCATCTACAAAGCAGTGTGTTTTTTAAGAAAGAAACCCTTCTCCCCTCCCCCATTGACTGTGAGCTGCTCACAGTCCATGTCTGTTGAGAACACTGGGTATAATCAGCATTTCACACACACACACGCATGCACATGCACACAGTCTCTGGCTTTAGTTTCGAAGTTTTATCCAATATCAGATTAACTGCACAAGCGCTACGAAAACCACTGTGAGGAGCTTAAACGAAAGAGAATGTGGTGCCTTTTACTCAACTGCAAAGTACAAGGGCCTCTCAACCAATAGCTTGTCTATTTAGCCCTTCAGGTGACTAAAACGGGGTTACTTCTTACACCCTGTTCCAATTGTAAAACCACCGGGTCACCTTCCCACCCCCACCCTACAGTTCTTGAGGCATTTCTGCCCCAGGGGCCTGGGGAGGGGCTCCTCGTCTCCTGTGTGTGCCCCTGTGGTTCTGTGATGGTCCCTGCTGAGCTCTTCTCCCTCTTCTTGAGTTTCTCTCTCTGCACACTGTCTTCTCTCAGTTGCCCCATCCATGACTTACTAGCACTGTTACTGTGAGGTTTTGGCATGTCCTGTCAACTCACCCCTTTTGGTCTTACAGTCCAAAGTGTGACAGCCTTACCCTAGCTGTGCAGATGGAAAGAGCAGAAGAAAAGGGGATGGTTGGCTCTCCCTGGCTTGGGGGCGGATAGCGAAACAGGCTGGTGGAAGTTGCTTCTGCGTGGACACGTTCTCCCAGCATGTCCTGGCTCAGAGTTCAAAGCACTGCAGATGTCAGAGCACTGGAATCCCATCACAAGATTGGGTGCTGCCTCCAAAGACTCAGAGCTGCTTTCTGTGGGCATGGCAACCCAGCAGTCACAGACCCCTCCTTACTCCTTAGACATATCCAAGCTTAGTTTTACTGGGAGGGCATGTATCTATGAATATGAGTACAGGTTTCGTTAGTTGCCCAGGGTTATCACCTGCAAAACCTAGAAGCAGTTTTGGCTACATATCTAACAGTCTGTTACAGAGTTAGGCAGGCCTGTCCAGGGGCTTTGGGCATTTTTGAGAAGGGAACCCAAAACCCAAAAGGTCACTGTATGGTAATACCCAGTGTCACCGCCCTCCCAGTGGGGACTAGAGGAAGGAGGAACAGCCCCTTACCTGTGAGCGGCCTGCCATCAGGAAGGGAACGTGTGCATGTACGTTCCTTTTTTAAGCCCTATGCCCACATCAGGGACTGCCACCCATGCCTGGGTCTGCTCTTGCTCAGTTTCCGTGCTGAAAAAAGGACTTAATTCATTTGTAGACTTTGTTTCCCTTGTTTCTGCTTTTCCATTTCTTGTATTTTTTTCTTTTCCTCCTGTTCCTTTCTCACTTTTTATGCTTTTTGTCCTCTGCTTGTTTTTTATTTCACCTTCTCCCTGTTCCTCTCCACTTCCAAACTCCTCCTCCTCCTCCTCTTCCTCTTCCTTTTTGTCTTCCTCCGTCTCCTCCTCCTCCTCTTTGTTTGGTCCTTTTTGAAGTTGAGCCCAGTGGCGGGACTCCACGGCGTAGACCTCTCTCCTTCTGCCCTTGCTGTGTCCAGGAAGGTAACGTAACTCCCCATCTCATCCCCACTGCCTCTCAGGGCTGTAGCAACGCCAGTTAAACAGGGACCTACACCCAACTGTTTCTCTTTCTTTCTCTGACACTTGATAGCCCTATTACAAAACTCCATGAGTATGTGGCAGTTTCTTAAAAGGAACAGTATCCCTTTGACTGTCTCAGGGGAGGACTGGGGTCCGGAGTGAAACCAGAGGGCCTCCAGGGCAGGCCTTCCAGGCTGTAGCCAAGCATCCCACGATATTGCACCACCATTCATGGTTGGGCCTTTCAGTCTCAAATCCAGCAGATAGAGGGGCCAGGTTCACAGGTGAGGAACCTCCCACCTGTGCAGCAATGATTTGTGTTGGTGGAGTCGAGGAATACTGTCCTTACAAAGACTGGTCTACACAAATGCCTCTTGAGTTCTTTTCCAAAACAATCACTTAAAGCAAACTTCTCTACCCTGTGTCTTGCTGAGTGTGTGTGTGTGTGTGTGTATGTGTGTGTGTGTGTATATGTGTGTTTAAGTTTGTCTGATTTGAAGTCTGTTGCAGTGATGAGATTGTCATTGAAAAGGCATGTGGGAAGGGGAAGGGGAAGTGTGGTCATGACTAACCCTTGCTAACCTATTCCTCTGCTCTCCATGGCGCTCACATTTGACTTTCACCCTCCCCACCATATACCTTTGCTCATCGGCTGTGAACAATCTGCCATAGCTCATGAGTGGTGTTTGGATGTCTCCCCATGGAATTTTGGGGAGGTGGGAAGGAGGGAGAGACTTCCCAGTGTATTCATGGCTTGCCACACTGGGCAGCTTGCATGCCTCAGGGCTCCATCTTCCATGGCCATGTGGGCACACTGTGCAGAGATGCTCAGAAAGGAATGCATGGAACTGAGCTGTAGGCTGCTTTAAAGCCAAAGAACCAAGTCTATTGGGTTGGGTAAGGAGAGCTTTAGTCCCCAGACACTCCAGCATGCCCTCCACAGTCACAGGCTTGACCAGTCAGGAGGGAGCTTCCATCCTTCGGACTCAGGCACAGGCCTTCACCTTGGGAGCACAGCTGCATCTGCACTGGGGCACAGTGCATACGCTAACCCCTATTTATATGAACATGATTCATTTCTGCCTCTCCAGAGTGTGGCTCCATTGAAAGACTAACTGGCTTGGGCCTCATATGTCAAGCAAACCACATTGCAGAAAGAATTGTCTTTGAACAGTGTGGCAAGGAAGTCAGGTGGTAAGAATGTAGAAGTAAAGGAACTTGATAAATGAACCGTGCCACCTGAGAGTGTACTCCATATGTTTCTGGGTTTGGTCTTTACTGGGATAGAACATCCAGCCAAGTAACTCATAAAATGGAAAGCACTTTGAAGGATTTTCCAGTCCAATGCCTCTTCACCGGGGCCCTGTGGATGGACTTCAGGCAGCCCATGAACACCCTGAAGTTCTATATGAAATTGTTAGATGTATATACAAGCATTTTTCTAGGAAGACAGTCTCTAGCTTTCCTGAGTCTCAAAATGGTTTGTTACCCAAAAATATTGAAGAACCACTGACAGTCTGTCTTTTGCATTCAGGCAGGATCACACGGTGGCCAAGAGCTTTGTGCTCCAAGAACAAGGTGTTTGTTCCCTCGGGTGGTGTGATTCCTTGGAAAGTTCTCTCTTCCAGCCTCCTTCTGCAGTTAAGCCCAGCAGGGTCAGGCTGCACCAGATGGAGGTTTAATATCAGTCATGCATTGGTGCAGGGCAACTTGAGTGAGCAGGCAGGCACCAGCCCTGGAAGCTGCTGCTGGGATTAGATCAGAGCCAGGAGTGGCCGCCTCACTTAGTCTCTAGGGTCTGCTGGTGTTTCTCTGCCCTTGGTGAGAAACCTGATAGCTGTCTTGAGATGTGCTACGTATTCCATGCAGGATCCGTTGCGAGAGTGGTTTGGTCAGATAAAAGAATAATGAGGTGTAGTACCGGAGGCCCAGGGCAGGCAGTGCCTGGAAGGAGCTGAGTTAATGAGTGACTTAAAAGGAGGCGAAGTATGGCATATAAATTCATTAGGCTGGTTTCCTCAAAGCAGACCTAGTTCATAGCAAGTACCAAAGAAATATTAAGTGAATGAAAGAAAACAGGAAGGCAAAGCACTTAAAACATACCAAAAGAGAACCATTGAGGAGAGCTCCAAACAAGCGATGACCAGGTTACTGAAGGGTGAGGGCCAGGCCTGGGAAGGACAAATGGAAATGCAGGGTCCATTAGGCCCTGGGGGTTGGCGGGGGGTGGCACCCCCTCCACAGCTGCAGGCAAACTCTGGACCTGGCTTGGGAGCGTTCCGGCAGCATCTTGCTCGGCTCTCTTTGCACATTTGCCCCAGTGTGATGACTCCTGCTGGATGGGTAGACAGCAGACCCTCCATGCACGTAACATGCCCTCTCTTTTGGCAGGCATGGGCAAGAAGGACGACCCCAAGCTGATGCAGGAGTGGTTCAAGCTGGTGCAAGAGAAAAATGCCATGGTGCGCTACGAGTCGGAGCTGATGATTTTGTGAGTGGCTTTAGGTTGGGACCCAGCTAAAGGGGAACGTGAGTTCAGTGCCTGTCACAGCAGGAACACAGCCTGCTAATTTAGTAGATGAGTTACTGTGGTCCCCAGATCATTGTTGCTTGTCTCCCTCCCCAGCGCCCGGGAGCTGGAACTGGAAGACCGGCAGAGCCGACTGCAGCAGGAACTCAGGGAGCGGATGGCAGTGGAAGGTAAGAGGGGGAACGGGTGAGCTGCACACGGGAAGGCTGGGTGCGGGCCTGCTGCTTCCGGCCCTACAGACCTAATGTCTTCGGTTACCACCCAGATCACCTGAAGACCGAAGAGGAGCTATCAGAGGAGAAGAAGATCCTGAACGAGATGCTGGAGGTGGTGGAGCAGAGAGACGCCCTCGTGGCCCTGCTCGAGGAGCAGCGGCTCCGGGAAAAAGAGGAGGACAAGGACTTGGAGGCTGTCATGCTATCAAAAGGCTTCAGCCTGAACTGGTCTTGAGTGCTTATCCACGCTCTGGTTGGCTGGTCTGTGGTATCTGCCTGACCCGGGTGGGCTCTCCCAGACTACCCGGATTCAAGATCTGAGAAGGGCCGCACCTCCTGGGAGTTCACACTCACGTGTCCACGTGCCTCTTGAAGAGCGGGTCAAGTTCTGTTGTGGGGAACACTCCCCTCACCCCGAAGATGATTATCTGAGGTGGCTCTGCCTCCTCGAAGAGACCCATCCTGACCTCCTGCTCCGGGGAGAGGTCATGGAGTGTAGACCCATAATGTGGGGAAAAGAAAGGCCTGCACGTTCCCCACAGTGGTGACTGGCACTCCTTCTTGCACAGGAATATTTAGTAAGAGAAGGAAACTGCTCACCCCTGTCAGAACCATAGCCATCAGAGTGTACCCCACAGAGAGAAAGGGGCACCTGTCTTCATGCTTCCTGAAGCACCACCAAAGAAATGAAGGAGACAGCCCAGGAAAGCCACATGTGTATCGAGACCAGGAGAGCGACCACGGCCAATCAGGGTGACACCTACCCCAGCATCACAGGGAAGCCGAGGGGGGCCAGCTCCTGAGTTCGTTATGCAAGTGAGTAAGGAGGATCCAGGAGGGGTCTGCTCCCCGGCCCCACACCACACACTGCATCCCAAGTGGCCAAATGCCCCAGGTCTCTCTATGACTAGCCTAAAGCCTGTGGATTGCTGCATTTTGCTTTTAATTCACAACCATTTTAACACTGGAAAATACTGATTTTGGGGAACGAGTGAGGCTCAGAATTTGACAAACAGGCGTTGTCACTGTTCGGCACTTCACGTCAGGGCCAGAGTTATCCTCCTTGGTGTTTTTCCTGCGTTTGCACATTGAAATGACGCTGACAACCTGGCAAGACACTCAGTGCTTTGGACCCTTTTTTGTCAATTAACTTATTTTTTTAATACTTGAAAAGAAGCAACTTCATTTTTATATCTTTACTAGAGACACTGATCACCTGGCACCTGGTGTGGGAGTGAAAGAGGTGTCCCATCCCAACCTGACTGAACATTTGTTACATCCATCTATTTATTAGCCTTCTTCATAGTGTTACTGACCCAGCTGGCATCAGGGAGCAGCTGAGGCCCTCGTGGGGGCCCCTGCTCACAGCTCTTCTGTCCCCTCCTGTACTTTGTGTCCAACTTCTCCTCCTCCACCTGGCATCCTGTCCTCACTCTGACACCAAACTTTATGTCTACACCACCCACTTGTCAAGGAGACATTTCAGCACTATTTGAAGCCAGACCAGCAGGCACAGATGCCACTCATCTCCCTGTGGTGGGAGTACTGGCTCTGCAGAACCCATTTTGTCCCTTAGTTTTGGTGCCAGGGTTTCACCTTCCACGATACATTTATTAAAGAAAGTTGGGGTATAGTCCTCTTCCAGACTGGCTGAGACAGTGCACGGTGGGACCCTGTAATCCATCTTGCTGATGAGGATTCCCTCAGCCCATCCTGAGCTCCAACCAGATAGAAGTGTATGTGGTACAACAGGTATTGGGGTTTAGGTTGGTCTCTCACAAACATAATAGCTTCAGCCCAAACCTCCCCAGTATCCAGATGTTCATGGAGAGACAAGGGAGGATAAGCATCATGTACCCAGCTCCTTGAGCCAAACTCTGCTCCTTTCTCATGATTCGGCCAGAGGCTGGCTGTACACAGCGCACAGAGCCACTGTCTGAGGAAACCTGGTCGGGCAGCACCTGACCAGCCACGGAGTGAGTGCACAGTCAGCCCAGGGAGGAGACCTGCCAGTGCCAGGCCACTCCGGGAGGGTTCTCAAGCCAGCTGCTGTGGAGAGGGGCCTGTGTAGCGAGAACAGAGGCCTGGCAACTCTCAAGGCCATCTGAGGGCAAGAGAGATCAGGTGTCCACGCTGACCTTGGATCTTCCATGGGGAACCACACCGTGCCTCAACTTGAACATTCATTCTCACTACAAAGGAGCAAAGAGCTATTCTTCACTTTGTCTAAAAGCTACCATCCCCCTCCTCTGAAAATCGAGGAGGCATGCTGCTAGCAGCCACCACAGTTCTGACTCCATTTCATGTTTACTGATGAGGCAGGTAGGGTCTCTGTTTTTTCTCTTTTCTTAAAAGGGGGAGGAGAGGGTGTCATAGATTCCATCTTTAAACTGCAGCCTTCCAATAAAATTGGACTTCAGACAGGACCTTCATCGCCTTTGTGGCCCTTTCCCTCACCCTCCACCTCTCGAAGACCACTATGCCTGGCCAACCCCTGGGAGGACTGCCTCCATTCCTTGTAGCTCCTGCTAACCCCAGAACAAGGAAGCAGTTTATGAAGTGGTTGGGAAGGGCTGCGGCCATAGCATAGCGATCCTCTCTAAGTGGCCTAATGTAGCAGGAGCAGCAGATGTTACTGTCTGCCCCTTGCCGCCGGCCAGTACTGCATCGCTCCAAAGCACACACTGCTGCCTTCCGTTACTAGAAAGAGGGCTGAAGACTTTGCAGAGAAGCTTTAAAAATCCACGAGCCTGTAAAACGTTTCCCCGCTCTCCACATCTAAGTGTTAAGATTTCAGGTTCTGGTAGAGCACTCTTTTAAAAAGCTCCCATTTTATAACCACTAGTTCTCAGTTTATTTACTACCCTGTGACATGCTGCATGAAATGTTTTCCCACTCTGGAAATGCATGCAGCTCCAAGCAGGCTTTCTTCTTGTGAGTTAAGTTCCCTTGAAGGTAGAAGGAGGAGGATGTATATTTATCTGAAATGCCAGAGGTCGGTGAGCCAAACACAAAGCCAACACAGTGGGCAACCAGGCTCAGCGCCACCTAGGGCAGTGGCAGGCACCCCAGCCCCTGAGTCTGAGTCATCAGTGGGGGACTGGCCAGCAGCACTGTGGGGTCCTCACCCTGCCCACATGGCATCTTTGGGCCTTTGCCCCCAGGCCTTTGACCAGCAATGATAGATTATTCTTTACCTTTTCTAAAGAGAAGAAATTTTTCAGTGGAGCAAGAAGTGGAGAGAATTTAAAGAAATAAATTTCAAAGGTTAGGCAGCAACCAAGCTACAAAGAAGAATGGGCCACTTTATGCACAATAAAAGTTTCAAAAGAAATACAGACTGTATTTCTTAAGCCATTGTACTGGACTTGGCAGTGAGCCTGGATACATTTCCACATTCTACCACCAGCCCTTTTCAAGTAGGTGATGTCCATGCTGTGTCTAGTGTGTGTATGGTTGTGTACAAAGTTGTTTACAGAAGACGTTATTTTTTTAAGTTTGTACTTTTTTTAGTTATCCATATTATCCTGGCTCAGCTATCAACTGTTATCGCTTGAGAAAATGTATGAAGTAACCCTGTGTGGTAAGAAGCTGCTCTTCAAAACCAAACCCCAGTACACCCCCTTGAAGAAAAGCAAGTTCTAGAGATTCTCCAAGTTGTAATGACCCTGCGTCCCGGCGACCTTCCTGGCAACTGCTGCCCCCAGGCCTGCCTGGGCTCTAGCCTTTGACACAGCTGACCTGGGATCCTGCAGCCTCTAGGCCTGATGGTTGAGAGATATTGATGTCCCCAACTACATTTGGTGCATTGGGTCTTGGAGAGAGCTGACGTCACCCTTCTTCAGACTGGAAACATCACCAGGAGACTGAAGGGAATAATCCTGGCTGACTCTTCTCTCTTTACTACAAGAAGCCTCCAGGGCTGTTTTTCCAAATGGAGGCAGCCCAGCTCTGTCCCCCTCCCTTGGTCTGCTGCCCCATCAGAAGCATAGTGGACTTCATCATGACCCACAGAGCTAATCCCAAAGGCGTGATGCTTCCCTTTGTAGCAGTAATGAGAGGGAGAAAACAGCAACAGATGGATAGAGGGGAGCCTTGTCCAGCCTCTTGCCAGCTATTCCAGAAGGAAGAAAAGGGCCTAGCTGATGCAAATGTACGCATCTTAGGGACAGTAGAGCCAGCTGGAGTGAATATACTGTGACTCTAGATTCCTAAAAGGAAAGATGGATTGTGACACATGCCTGCTGGGAAAGAAGAGGAGTTTGGAAGTCACCTGTGCTGGTCACCTTTTGTTCCTCAGAGGGGCTCACTTTGATTAGAGCTGGAAACAGGCAGGACTTGGCTTCAGTGCACAACAACCCCAAGTGGCAGGAATGATGATTGTTTTATTAGGCAACCAGGAAGGAAGGCTGCTGGAGCCCCAGGGAATACACATCAGAAGCACATGTTTCCTTTCTTTCCAAGAAGCCACCATGTCTGATGGCTTAGAAATCCCTCCTGAACCCTGCCTGAATCCTCATGGTTCCTTCTTAGGAATCAGTGAAAAATGGTAAAGGGAGAGAATGTGCCATTTTATGACACTTTATGAGCTGGCAAGACAGTCCCACTTAAGGAGAGCTCTCCTCCTCCTCGTTACCTGCTGTGAAGAATCTCCCCACTGCAATACTCAGTGAGGAGGGTAAAAACCATCCCCTTATGTGGGCTATGTCCCATCAAAACACCAGCCCAGGGGACAAGAGCCGCCCCTTGCCACACCAAATCAAGGAGCCTGTTAGACTAGGCACCCAGGGTCACAAGCCCTCCAGTGACGCTCCCAGACAGCCTGTTGCTGCTCAACACTCAGGTTGTATTTTGTGACAGCCCCACTCCTTGTATCCTGTGCCCTGAGGTCTTGCAGCTAGGGCCTAAACAGGGAAGCTGGAATCCCAGATTTTGTGAATAGGCCACATGTGCTGGCCGCCTCTGCCTGAGAAGCAACATGTTACCAGGACAGAAATGGAAGGGGAGACAGCATCCTATGCACACGTGTTTACACACACTCCTTTTCACCTCCAACATGTCTTTTCTGAACCAGAGTGGACATCTAGTTCTAAAGTAGGCTGGATTTCAGCCTTTAGCCCCAGGTAGGACCAGCTGTGATGGGGTGGCCCAGGCCTCAGCTAGGCAGGACTCGAGCTGAGGATCTTCCTGCAATGGCACCCAGCCTGGGGCCTGGAAGGCTGGAGCTCTTTCGAAAGGTCTTCAAAGTGGGCAGGCAGAGCATCCCCTAGGCCCGGGAGAAGGGTCTTTTGTAGTGCCCAGTGTGAGAGTAGGGCTGCCTCACGCAGCTCTTATGATACGAGGACAAGGTTGCTGCTGTCTGACCACACATGAAAGGGCAGCAGGGGTGTGAGTGTGCTGAGATCAAGGTCAGCATTCAAACGTGAACTTGTCCATGCCTCTTTCCGACTTCAGACATAGCCTTAGGCACATCACTTTACTGGTCAGGACCGCCCGCTGTCTCACCTGGGGCTGGTAATCAACCAGGATCGTGGGAAGGCAGTGCATCGAAGGGTTTGAGATTCTTAAATCAGGGCCTGTGTACACATACAGACATCTTTCATAATAACTAACATTCACCTTAAAGAAGGGTAAGAACCCAAGACGGGCTGAAGGAAGTTTCTCACAGTACCTCCAGGGGCTGGTTTCCAACTGCCCAAGGTCATCTCGGGTGTATCTGGTATGCCAACAGAGTTGGGCGTTTATTTTTAATTATTTTAAATGCTAGGCTGAATCCTCTCAGGAACATAACTTACTAGATACAGATCGCTATAGATGAGCAGTGTTCCCAGAACATTCAGATAGGCTGCCGCTGGGTGTGTACCTGAGGCTAGACAGTGCTGGGCTCTGTACTCAGTGCCTTAACTGGGAACAAACCAGCACTAAGCTCAAGGGGGCAGCCCAGAGCCACCAGGCACCTCCACCTTGAAGCAGCTCCACCAGACCTCTCCCAGCAGTGTCCCCAGGGGACAGAGCATGGGTCCCTGGTCCTCCAGAATCATTGTCAAGGATGTGGGGTTCATCCAAGTGAAAGTTAGGGTGTGTTCATTTTAGGATGCTGAGCAAGAGCCAGAAGAACCAGAGTTCACTCGCACATACCACAGGCCCTATCACAGCAAGTGATGAGAAAAGTGAGCATTTCTTGGGAGAGAAACCCTGATAAATATCTAAGGTTTGGCACTCTGGCCTTCAGGTTGTTGCGCTAAGAGTGTGATAGCCAAGTCTTTACTGTGGGTGAAAAGAAAAGACAAGAAGCACCTGACAGCCAATAGCTCCCTTTCCCCAGCTGCATTTTCTTTAACTATTTTTATAATGTTTTTAAAGAATTAAATACCGTTTTAAAAGTGTAACCAGGGCCAGCCTCTTGCTTGGTACCAGCCTCTTACTGGGACAAAATAACATTTCTAGCTGCAGTAATTACTGTTTTCAGTCTTTATTCTTAAAATCACCTGTAAAAATCCGAGTGGAGAGGCAGGAAGATTGGGTATGGAGGGCTGGGTGCCTGAGTCTAAACTGCTGGGCCTGAGTCAGATTGGTGCTTTACCCAGATTTGGGAACAAGCCAACAGTCAGCTCAAGGGGACACCCCTGTCTTTTCCATGCTGTGTCATCTGCAGCCCAGAAAAGGCACCAGAGCCTTACTCCTGAAGGGTGGCTCAGCCCCTGTTCCTGGAGGACACCAAAGCAGCCTGAGGGCTCTTCCAAGTTCTCCTATGGGAAGATATTTTGAAGCATCAAGAAAGGCCACGTTTTCTGGTAGAAGAGAATGCTCCTGTGCTGACTTTGCAGTAGTTTACATATAGGTATAAAATAAGTTTATTTCTGTGTCTGTGAAGAGCCCTGCTGCTTCTGTTTATGACTTTTAGAGTCATTAGAGCAAAGGAAAGTGGGAAACAAATAGTACCTTTCTTCAGTTTGAGTGGTGGAGTACACACCATTTACCCTCCAGCTGTTTGCCATCTTCCTGTGGCCAACAGCCAAAATAAAGTCAGCCATTATTTTTTTCTCCTGTGTGGAAGAGGGTCATTTTTCCCCTCAGTAAGCAAATTCACACCCTCAGGGAGCTGGGATCTGCCCATAAAACCAAAGGCTCAAGGTAGCCTTTCTTCCTGGATGCTCCAGCACCAGCCCCCCGCCCCAGTTGGCCTCCAACAGAGTATGTTCCTGTGGGGTGGGAGAACTATGTTCCCCCTGCTCCAGGTCCATCATTTCTGTCCTCACTACCTTCTTTGTTTTGGTTGGAAGAGAGCAACTGCTATCTAGTAAGACCTCTTCTTCCTCTCCTTCCCTTAACGTTACTGCAGGCATACCTCAAAGATATTGCGGGTTCAGTTCCAGACCACTACAATAAAGTGAGTATCACAAGCGAGTCGTAATCTTTTTGTTAGTGGAGGGGCTTCAGTTTGTAAGAAAACAAAATGCAACACCTGTGGAGCGCAATAAAGCAAGGCGCAATAAAACGAGGTATGCCTGTGTATATCTTGAAGTAAAAGGGCAGGTGAGAAAATTGTCATCTTTCCTAAGCTATTTGCCCAGGTGGAGGACAGCCCCCCTCCACCAGAACGTCCACTTGCTTTAAGCACCAAGCTCTTCACCCACCTCCAGCTTCACCTAATGGAATCAGAAGTACACGTTCCCCAGGTCTCAATGAGCAGAAGCTATCACAAGGCATGAAATAGAGTGCAGCCCACCAGAGCCCTGGGTGTTGGGAGGCCTGTTGCCCTCGCTAGGGTGGGAGCATCCAGGCAACCTGGCCCGCCTTGCATACACAGCCTGAGGAGCCTGTATTTTCTGCTCCTATCAGGTTCAAGAGCTGGAGACAGGTAAAGAACTTAGTTCTTAAAGCAAGTGAAGCAACAGAACAATGCCTGCCTCCCAGGCCTCCTCAACCAAAACCTCATATGTCTGCCTCCCTGGAAAAGAATTTTCCAAGGACCCAGGGGATGAACTAAGAGACACCACCACTCTCTGAGACTAAGCCATGATAGCAGGACCTGGGAAAAACTTTCCGACCCTGATGTGGGGATTGTGCCCCTGGACTTGGCAACTGAGGAACACTTAGACACTAAACAGACTGATATGGCTGGGTCTTCACGTGTCTAAGAACTGCCCATGGCTTTGAGAGCTAAGCAGTGAGTTCAGCCAGGGAAGGGGGCCAGTGACCATTGTGTAGCTGGTCTTCACCACCCAGTAGTCAGTGTCTGCCGCACCCCTTTCGGCAGTTCTATGGGTGTGCTTGGTCCCACGGGATTAGGATAGGCCCACAGTTTAAAACAGTTCTCATTCTTTTCCTCCAAGCTAACGGGGTGATCTCCCCAGTCCGTTTTTCTTTATGCTCCTCTGAAATGATCTTGAGTCCTATCCCCTTCTCTCCCCCACTCCAGCCATTAGAAAATTCTTTATTGGAGGCCACTTGGCCATGTGAAATGAGCACTGAACAGACCAGGAATCTGATCTGGCATCTGGCCTTACCTTGGCCCTCATCTGGCTAGCTGACTCTTGAAATGGGAAAATTACATCCACTTGGCCTCAAGAAGTAGTTGTGAAGCAGAAAAGAGATTAGAGATACTGTGTGCTCTGAATGTGTCGGTCTGTGCCTATCCTGTGGCTGCTGAGTCACGCATTAACATGCTGGCCACCAGAGCTACACACAGATGTTTCCCCCTCAGGACTGAGCATAGACTCTTGCCCACGAGCAGATGTACCAGTGTCTTACTCCAGTGCTTGTGACAGGAACCAGCAGCAGCTGTTCGAGTCTGGGCTTCCAGGAAATTAGTGATGACACCTGAAGTTCAGTGCATTTGTAGGAAAGAAACACATGGGGTTGGATTGGATGTGGGGAAATACAACATGGAATGAAGACCCAGAAACTTCATGTGAGGTGAAGCAAGCATCTCTTGGCCTTCACAACTGGAACCCAGACATTTGTTCTTTCCCTGCCACAGGTCTGGAATGTTCATGAGGCTACGGTAATGAGAGTCACGGTCCCTCCCCTCAAGGAACACCGAGTCCCACGTGTGGCACTCATAGAGCCACGTGGCGTTCTCCAGCTGTGTGCCCACACACACCGATGCGGCCTTTCTCAGCATGTCTCCCTCTAACAAATCACCGTGTAAAACATTCAAGCCAGTCGTGGCTAGGGCCCTTTCTCGCCCACGCCAGGACCCCCACACCTGTTCCCTGGCGTGTTGTGGCTTAGCCAACTCCAAAAAACTGGCTTCCTGAAGAGCAGAGATGAGACGAAGGCAGGCAGAGACGAGATGAAGGAGAGTACAGAGACCCAACAACCTGGCCGGCAAATGCTGAGGCACCCA